CATCTAAAGGTGACCTTGACCACGACCTTCAAGGTCATTTGAAGGTCATTTTAGTTTTTGTTGCAAAATTCTACTTTTGAGACTAGAAATGAGAAGAGCGGGCAATTTCACGTCCATCATTGACCTTGACCTTCACGGTCATTTCAAGGTCATGTTAATTTTTGAAATAGAAACCCGTATCTTTCAAATTCATACCAAAATAGAAAGTGCGGAGAATTTTGCTTCCGGATATAACCTTGATCATGACCTTAAGTTTCAAAAGTCATTTGAAGGTCATTCTAGTATTTTCCAGACAAAACTTTAATCTTGTTCATATTTTTCTTTTTGATATGTGGGGCTCGCCATAATTTTCCAGAATACCCATTAACCTTTTGCGGCATGCATTTTTTATTCAAATGTTGAAGAAGCATTTTCAAAGTGTTAATCCATATGAATATTAAAAATGTTTACCAAAAATAGGTCGGCCATATTGGATTAGAATATTTTCAAATTCTGACTTCATATTCGCGATCAGCGCCCTCGAAAACCCCCAAATGACCTTCAAATGCCCTTGAAGGTTCTTGTCAAGGTCATAGTCGGATATAAAATTTTCTGCTCTTTTCATTTCTGGTGTCAAAAACGTGTTTCCATTTGAAAAAATCAAGTTGACCTTGAAATTACCTTGAAGGTCATGGTCAAGGTAAATGTCTCCCTCAAAAACCTAGGTATAACTTTTATTTGAAAAATTTTTTTCAATAAGCCCTTAACTTAAGAGATTCACGTGTATTTTTTAAAATGGAACACCCAGTACACAGGGTGAGTCATTAATAATGGTACACAGCTTAGTGGCAGATTGTTAACGTCAAAATATAACGATTGAGACAAATATGCTTCAATAAATTGTTGTTCCTTTTCACTCTGTTAAATTTGAAAAAATATTTTCGATTTTTTGCTATATTTTAAGTAAGTATGGACCGATTGCTTTGAAAATTTGTGGTTTTACGTTTTCTGAGGTGGCAAATACTAATATGCAAACAGTGTTGGGGTCACGTCTAGGGGGCGCTAGTTATACTGTTCTATCAATGTAAACATTTGTCTAACTTTTTGTATTTTACAATTTTGAATTTTTTAACTAGAAATTATTGAAGTTCAATTATAAATGAAAAAGGTAGACTTGTTACAAATCGAGATACGGACGTTTTAACTTTATGAGATTCGGCGGGAATTAAATTGGAAGATATGCATATTCCACTTTACAACGCACAAATATACATAGGAGCTTCTGAAAGTCCTTAGAATTACGCAAAATAAATGTTTAAAGGCAGATTTGGTTACTAAACTAATGTGTTGGTCAAACGATAATCTAGTATCAAATGTAACACCAAGGTCAGTAAATTGTTAACTCTATTTAGAAAGATAAGATTCACCAATTTTATAACCTAAATTAAATTAGTTTCGCGTCGACTGTAAGATATAATTTTATATTTGCTTACATCCAGAGGTAGATTATTATTACATGAACACCAACTGCGTGATCTATCATGATTATCTTGTAACCTAGTCTAATCAGTAGAAGATTTAACTTCCAAGAACAACTTAAGATCATCCGTATAGAGCAAATAGTTCACAGCGAGGCATTCAGTTAAGTCATTAAAAAAATTTTAAACAGCGGTAGCCCCAGGATTGATCCTTGGGGAACTTCTGAAGATCGATGGAATTTACATGATTGAAAGCCACTGTACTGCACTTGTATTAAGTTTTACGTATTTTACAAATGCACCGCCCTTCTCCGACAGTTCCAAATCACCATCCGTCGATATTAGGACCCATTCGGCAGTTCGCATGCGAAAACTCAGGCTGGCTGCTCGCCTATCTGGGGGTGACCAGCGGCACATGAAATATGAACTCGACGCACACCGTTGTGAGCGATCGACCCCCCGAACAACCCCCGACTTGTTCGACGCATCCGGTCCGGGGGTGAGACAATGTAACCGGCGGGAATACAACCCCCCGCGACGAAGCCGCCTTTGCTTTTCTAGCCGTCCTCCTTCCCCGTACCGCCGCCGTCGTGGACGCTGGGGTGGACGGTGATTTCCTAAATGGCCCACTTTCGGTCGAGCGAGAGCGCGGTTTTTACGACCAAAAAATCTCGCAGGCTAGTAATTCAAGGTTGAGGCGATGAAGAGGAGATATCTCTGTTGAGAATCGGCGTCGATATAGTCTTCAGTGTTCGGAATATTAAAATTAATAATACACCGCGGGTTCTCCCACACAAGTTCTTAATTTTGATCAAAGGGTCATTTCCGTAAATCAAATTTTATTCAAATATTACATAAGAATAACGTCAGGTAGATTTTCTATTTATCGTATTTTATTAGAATATAAAATAAGACCGATATCAGTATTAGTATTTTTATTATGCTGCTAAGTTGGTAGTGCCGATAATGGCCAATAGTAGCGACTGGTCCTTAAGTGTAGATTACACTGTTACACCAGGAAAATTAGAGAAATTAAAAGAGAAACTCGAAAAAAGACCTATCCGCGAGATTATTGTAAAATTGTCTAAAGGAACATAATACAAGACATCTCTCGTCTCGTGAGCCAAAAACTTTTATTAGCTAACCATATATACAAAATTGTATTTTGTCTTAGAGGAAATAAAATTATTATTATTATTATTATTATTATTATTATTATTATTATTATTATTATTATTAACTGGGCGACCAGACCTGTTTCTGGGTACGGCTAAATAAATATGGGAGCAAGTTTTTCAAATATTTCAACGCCGAGTTGCTGCGTCAGCGACCGAACCTAGTACATACCGCCTAGATCTTTGGTCTTCAATTGAGATCGGAAAGACTATAACACCACTGATTTGTTNTGAATTTTTACTTCAATTTTACATTTAAATCGTAAATAAATAGCTAACAAAATATTGAAAAAACAAGTTTACTTTGCCTTAATATGTAAAAAAATAACTTTTTTAATAAACGATAGCTTCATTTATTTATTTAATAATAGTAAAATAATTCCGAAATTGAAATTTTAATTAATATTTCGTTTAACAATAATTTTTGTGACCTTTTTGTAAATTAAAAAAAATTAAGTATAAAAGATGCATTTTTTAAGTTTCTACGATGAATAGAAGCCGAGATATTGCAAAATTTACAGCGCGCATCAATTTGAACTTTACTTAGCGAGTACCTTCTCTTTAAAGGGCTGGCGAGTCGTTAATTTTCCGCATTTTTCAATGCAATTCACTGAAAATCGTAGTTTACGTCGTAAACTTTATTTTGCGAAAAATTCAAGTCTTAATATTTATAAATAATTTCGCTACGATTAAAAAAAATTCTTATCTTAGCTCCTATTGGTCGTAGAGGGTGCTTTTTTTAATAAAAAATTGTATTTTTTGCCAGCTATCCATTGTAGCTATTTTCGGTGAAGTAGCATCAATAGCAACAATTTTATTCAAATTATTTATAAGCGAAAAACGCACGATTTTTTAATGCACATTTTGAGAATGTTAATGTCAAAAAAACGGTGATATTTTTTAATAGATCGCTTAATTACGTCTTTAAGATTACAATGACGCTTTCAGAATCATGTTTGGTTGAAAATTAACGCCTGTACAGAGGCTTAAAGTTCATAACTTTTGAAACCTCCGCTATAAACAAATAGAATTGTGCGAAAACTATTGCACCTACAGCGCCCACTTTTAGCACACTTTTAAACTATGACAAAACTCTCAACTTGTCATAGGTTTTATAAAAATTTTAACAATAAATGCGATAGTTATAAACAAATTAAAAAATGGGCACTTTGTTTTTTTGCAATAACTTTTTTGTTTATTAACCGATTTTAATTTAACAAGTCCCATTTTGTAGATAATTTTACTCCCTACAAGCTGTCTGCGAGTCACTTTTCGCTAAAATTGATGGTTTTCCCTACAAAGTGAAAAAACCTCGCTTATTTGTTTAAATAGAAAAGTTAGCTAATAAAAGTTTTTGACTCACGAGATGAGAGATGTCTTGTACTATGTTCCTTTAGACAATTTTACAATAATCTCGCGGATAGGACTTTTTCGAGTAAAAATCTTCTTTGCTTGGCTTATAGGTTTAATTAGAACGAAACGAATAAATGAAAAGTAAGAAAAAAATATTTTAAAAACAAGCTTTTATTAGTGCACTAAAAAGAAATTAATAAACCAAGATCAGCATGTTCCTGTTCTTATGCGATTTAAAAGCTTGTCGCGAGGTTTATTCCTAATTGAAATTTTTATTTTAAGGGGTAAGTTAAGGAAATTATGCGACAAACTTTTAAATCGCATAAGAACGTGAATATACTGATCTTCGTTTATTTTTTTATTTTTATTGCATTTTAATAGAAGCTTGCTTTTAACATATTTTTTTTTACTTTTCATTTATTTACACCTTTTTAGCAAAAAAAAAAATTATCCGCCATATTGAATTTAGTGCGACGTCATTTTATTTTCGTATTCTCCTCAATTAACCCTTTCATTTGATACCCATATCTTGGAGGTGCATAAAAATAACTGGTCCGCCATCTTTAGGAGTCCGCCATATTGAATTTAGAATGACGTCACTTAGCTAACCATGCATTGTCATCCAAACTAAACGTGTCTACAAAATTTCAGCTCAATCGGTTGGGAATAACTGTTTTAAAAGCTTGTAAAAAAATAGATTTACATTAAATTCTTGGGCTAGGTTCTGTGGTAAATAATAATAGACTGTACTGTATAATATTTTTTACTGTATAATATTTTTAACCCATAATGTTTTTTAACTAATATGTGTTCGAATTGTATCTTCACCAACAAAAGAATTGAATAACGGATATGACTGGTCGGTTACGATAACCAACCGGACAGTTGACGAACAGAAATTTTATTTAGAATATCAATTATAGCAACACAAAACCGATGTCGAAGTCGTGTGCAGTCATAACGAATAATTCGATAGGCTATTAACAGAGTTATCCGGCACGGGAAAAAAGACCAGGAGGTGTTTAATACAGGGCTTTGATGTTCGTCAAATTCGAGCCCGTCTGGAGCCCCGAAAGCAATCAGCCCTTTATTTCGCTTTTTGAGGTTAACAAAAAAATTGACGTGTATTGTCGAATTGCACCGGTAGATACGCGGGAGAGCGCCCCAACGGTCCCCCGCCCACCCACCGCGCTTATCAGGACTCGCACCGAGTGGCAATTCAGTGACTAGTCGGCAATGTAGACATCATGAAGGTATTTTCGCATGATTAATTACCAGTGTATTGACGTAGACAACTTGACGCATTTAGAACCAATTTACTTCACTGTTGGATGCCTGTAAAGGATACAATTAATCCTTAATCGAAACGTTGTCTCGCTTTTGTTTTTAATCCCGGATGATTAAATTTTTATTGATCTCCGCCTAGCTGGGAGCTCCGCTAGTTGTAGCAACTGTTTTTTTTTTTAAACAGGGCGCGTCTTTTGTTTATTTTTATGTCATTAAGTCGAAAGACGCGACAACAACGTAGATGCAGGAATCAAGAGGGAAGGGCTTTGCAAAGGTAGAAGTGCTTTCGGTATTAGGCCATCAGAAAGATAAATTAGACGACTTTAGATGATAAAAATAGACATTTTAATAATAGTCATTTATTTACAACACCTTAACACGTATAAAAAGGTGTTCGAATAAAGTACTTAGTTCTTGGAATATCAACCAAAACCGAGACAGAGACACTTTCCTATAAAGATTGAGACCAAGAGAACAAAAAATCTATTAACAAAATCAAGAACCAAAACGAAACTGATGTTAATAGAGAAGCTTTGAAGATTGAGCTATTCATTGTGCTCACTTCTAAGCAATAATTGTTCAGTATGTTTGGGTTTAGAATACTTACGGCTTTGTTATTCCCTGCAATTCTTCTTTATTTTCATTTCATTTATGCACATTGCTCTCAGAAGTAAAACTGATCTGATATAATTTACTTATTCACGATATTTATGGATTGAGTGCAGTGAATGTCGAGTATGGTGTACCGCAAGGTATGGTTTCAGGGCCCCTGTTATTTTTAATATATATTAATGATTTATTTGGCTTACTTACCAGTGGAGATGTTATAGGCTTTGCAGACGATACACCTATCTTCCATAAAAGTAACACTTGGGACGAACTAAAAGAAACTGTGGAGAATGATTTGTCTTATGTAAAAGATTGGTTCAGTTACAAACTATTGACAATTAACTTAATTAACAAAAATAAAATATTTAGGTGTTTTTTGTAGATTGTCATTTAAGATGGGATATACATATAAATTATATTATAAAGAAGCTTCAGTCCATTTTATATACCTTTAAGTATCTCGTTATATTAAGAAAACGTAGGGGCAAAAAAAATTTGAAATTTGGGCCATATATAGCCTCACTATTACTCTATTGTATGCTAAAATTTTAGTTAGTTTCGTTATCCCATTTTCTAGTTATTAATGAAAATGTTGAAAAAATCACGGTTTTCCACCTACAAAATTGATACCTCTCACTTTAACTCGTCGTAATTTTTTTGTTAATTAATAAAAAAATTCCAAATTTTTTCTGACGATAAGTCGAACTATTGTCTTTCGTACTGTGAAGGTCATTTATCTCAAAAGCTCTTCTTTTTTTTATTTTTAAGCAAAACAGGAGGGAGGGCTATCTCCGTTAATATTGCGTTCTCTAAAAAAATAAGAAAATTGACAGGTAGTAAATAACTGTAATTAACAATCCAAAAAAAATTGTTAAATTCCGAATTGACTGATTCCGTAAATATATACATACTTACATTTTTTTATATTGTATATTTATGTATTTCTTTCCTGTTTTATTTTATTATTCATGTTTGATGTCATTCTGTGACAGGCATTTTGTGATGTATTTACATATTTATACTTTATTATGTTCTTGAAACACGTGTTAACTTATCAAGTATTGTTTATTAGTATAACTTTTAAAACTGTTATACGTTTTTATACTTTGTATTTTTCTACGAGTAAATTATTATTATTGAAATATTTAAATGCCAAAGATGCAGCCAACTACAGTTTCAAAATGTTTATGGTAAAATACGAGAGAGAGGAAGAGATTAAATAACAGAAATTGTTTAATAATGTTGTAATACTAGCGCTAACAGGAACTGTTTGTCGACCTATCCTCCTGTTTTGTACACACCTAGTCTAGTGTCCACAAAATCGCGAATGCTCTTTGCAAAAAAGCTCTTTGATGTGTAAACAATTTTACGTCCCTCTAATATTGTTTTCACATGTAAATTCCACAAAATCGGATAGTATGTTGTAAAGCAAGACAAACAATTTCTGTATGCACTCTTATCTCTGTTATTTAATGCGGTGTTTTAGTATAATCCTATGTTCAAGATTAAAAAAGAAGTATCATCAGCAGGGAAGTGTTTAGAAGACAGTAGACACGCAATCTAGCGTTTTTAAACAATAAATACATGAAGTTTCCAGTCCCGAACCCGCTAGTAAACCAGAACGGATCTATTTGTACAAGTTATTCCTCTGGCGTCCATTAAATTTCGTTGCCGCGCAATTAAATTTACCCCCATTATCCTCTTATAAACATAAAGCTTACCGGAATGAGTATTTATACGTCTGAAGTGCAAACGGTTTTATATGTAATCGCGCTACAGCCGCATATGTCTGAAATATACAAATTTGCCTTCACGTCCTCAATATCATCGACCGGCAGGCGGCAATCTGTACGAATGCCGGGGAACAGTGTAAATACAATTAGATTAAGTGTCAGCCGTTCTGGCACAATACATTCATTGTTATTGTTATAGTCTAAACTTGAGCTGAATGGGAATAATTTGTTTGAGAGGCTTTACGGCGTATCAAACTGCGAGCTGCATCTCGAACAGCATGCTGCACTGCATCGACAATGAAAGCTGTGGATTTTTGCGACGGTCCTTCAGTGTTTTTGTAACCTGACCACTGTTGAATGTAGGCGTAGATGCAATGGATGTAAACAAATGCGTGCACGATGCAATTAATTCTACACACCATAAAATAGTATTAAAATATTGAATGCGAAATGGATTTTTGATGTGTTAAAAAGTACATTAAGAAGTTTTTTCGTTCCAATTCGTCAGTGTCTTTTTGACAAAGAAAATTTGATTTTTATGACAGTTTTCGAAAAGACACTGTTCCACACCAATACAATGACTGCATTCCGTTCCAGCATTTTTACAGGTCTTGTTTCACGTATTCGGGAACATACTGTATACCTTTTCCGCCACAGCTTACGTGTATGTACGTTGCGTGGGTCGGTGTTGGATATCTTCCACACTGTTATCAGTTATCACCAATATTATTATCCCATAGAGAACCATAAAAACTCAAAGGATTATGCAATATTTTAGATAGTCGAAGTCAACGGGAAAATAGTCAGAGCGATAAATTTAATCACCATTTTTCACCGATAAAAGCCATCGTTAGGTGGAAATACTGCTTGTTGGTTCGGTTGGAAATGTGCCGGGGTTACTTTACGAGTTTGAAGCTGGGGGCAGATTTAGCTTTATTTTAATTGATATCGCTTCCATCGGTAATATGCGGATAGAACATTATTTTCCAGGAAAAAAAAAGGATATATATTGGTTTAACAATAATGTGGTAATGAATCAATAAATTGACAAAAAAATATAATTATTATGTTACTTACATATTAAATTGATTTTTTTTCCAAAATCTTGAATTACAATGTTTTTAACCTTAAAAGTCGACTTTTTACCGTGAAATGAAGGAAACATCTTTACATTCGCCCTGTATAGAAGGGGTACATTCCGATAGCGATGAAATTAACAACAGCCCGAACTAATCCAGCCTGAATAGGATTCCATTGGCTCGCACCATCAATCATGCCCGAATTAAAAAAGTAGATGAGTCATATTGCAATAAATGGGCACAACAAGTGTTGCTCATTACCACATGTTGGTACAATCGATCTCGAATGTCAGACCAACTTGAAAAGCTGCTCTTTTCATCTAAAAACAAATTATATGTATGAAATGTGTATGTCACGAGCATAATATGTAGTTAACGTTCGATTTTCGACACGGTGCTCGCTTCTAGGGGGACTATCGGACGGAGAAGATTTATATGTAAGGGAGTTTTTTAGCTTGTTTTTTTTTATTAGAAGCTTCGCTCGCAGTTTGTCATAATCATAGCCCTGTAACGAGGGGAAATCTGGAGGTGTGCAGTCCTGATAGAGACAAAAGGGAACTCCATTTTTGTTTTAACGGAAAAACATTTGTTGGAGGGAACTGTCTACCTATATTCTTTTTAAATTTTAACCTGGGCCTTAGACATATCATATAACAACAGTGGCGTACTACTATCGCCTTCAAACATTATATTCCTTGCGCTGTACAAATATTTACATCCTCGTTAAAAGATTTCTCCGACTTCCAGATATTTGATTAATGAAATGTCTGCAAGACAAACCGTAAAAGACGTGCAGTTAGTGCCCCATTTGCGATTCGGTCATAGTTTTCACAATTCGTTATTACGCGTTGGACTTGGCGTCCCATCAACGATCGCTGGAGGGTAGCTTTGTAGGTATTTTGTCGCCCTTAGCGATCCCACCTAAAAAGGGAGACTTATCCCTTATTGCTTCATTCTCAAAAGTGAATTTTGTCGGAGGCTTATCGACAAGGCCATATCTATATAGAATACACTCCGTTTAGATAGCACGTGAAGGAGGCTTTCCGGTTATCCGGACTATAAAGCGGGAGATAAACAAATTGTAGCAAATTATCAGACTGTTTTCAATTAAAAAGTTTTGTGAGGGGTATCGCAAAACTCCGCTGACAAAGCTTGATAAGGATATTAGCACTACTTTAGTCAGAATTTTACTGTGTTTACTTTGAGGTTAAAATTAGTAGGGGCTTTCCTTTCAAGTGATCTTAAGTGATCCAGAGGAGGTGGATCACTTAAATAGGACGTTTATATTGACTCACGTTTCTGCAAATAGC